TATTACTGTATAATAAATAATTTAAATATATTTGTCTTATATTTTATTTCAGTGTAAATATTTTTTGTCTACATTTTTGTATACATTTTTTGGGGTTTTATAACTAAAAAAAAAACTAATATATATGTTAAATACAATATTTTAATATAAATATTAGTTTTTCTTTTTAAAGTAATGAACCCCAAAAAATATAAATAAATAAAGATATTTAAATGAACCGCGGTTACGTTAACACTCTTCTTTTTTTATGCCTCTTACTGACAAATCAGTCAGCCAGTGTAGTTCAAAAAAGATCCGTTCCATACTAATTCGCAGCACTACGTTTCCAAAGATTAACACAGAATGCGACCATCTTCTTTATTAGTTTATCTATGGTCAGCCCTCAGCTCAGTCATCCCATCTGGCGATCGCTACATAGATAAATTAATATGTAAGATAAATCGTTTACATGCACGGCACTGGTAACACGTTTAGTTCCTCAGCATACTATTTGGAGCCACCATCGCACATTACACAATAGGCTTGACAGTTAAAGGCAGCACAGAAGAAGAAAATAAAAAGAAGAGTGTCTAGTTTTCCCGCGGTTCATTCAAATGTACTTTATTATTTATTTATATTTTTTCGGAATTCATTACTCAAATAAAAACTAATATTTAAATTAAAATATTGTATTTAACATAAATATTAGTTTTTTAAAGTAATAAAACTCCAAAAAATATAAATAAAGAAATATTTATACTAAAATACTTGAAACACAGGTATAGTTTAATCATTTAATACAAGTAAGGTGCATTTAAACGTTTATTACATACATAACATATACTCGATATTACATAACAATAATTATAAGTGAAATTAATAGTAATCTCCTCTCATTCTTGGAAAATGGACCTATTTTCGATGCAGGTGTTAGGTGTTTTCTCAGGGCGTTTTCTATAAAAACAAAAAAGTGTACATACCTTATTGAACAATTTCTCTTATCAAAATATTGCCAATTCTTATAAGTACAAGTTAATTTTAATTAGTTTATAAACAAAAATTATTTCTCATAGTTCAATAGTTAATTTGTATTTTATTTTAACTGTAAAACAAATCTGTTCTAGTTGATATTTATAACAAATTAGAGTTTAAAATTTCTTTTCATTTTTGACAGACAACAAAAGGATATCCTTTAAATTCTGTAATAATCATTAAAGTTCGCAAGCCCTCTCACCAAGGCAAGGTTTCAATCTAAGAGGAGGAAAAAGTGAAACTTATTGACTATTAATTATATTGAAATTTATAAAAATACTAGTTAATTTAACAATCAAATTATTTAGTATAGGTTTACTGCAATTTGGAAAATGTAGCTTAATTGATTAATCTCTTTAACAAACAAAATTATTATAAATAAAAAATTAAGAATTTGTTAGTACTTACCAACTTTAGCCAGTAAATGAAGAGCAGCAACTCCGAGGTTTGAAAAAATCTTTCGAGAATTTGCTTTTTGTTTACTGTTGCCCGCATCCCACCACGAGAAGGTAAAGTAGTGGACTAACACATTGAGGATGCTTTTTTATTTTATTTTTTTCTGTAAAAAGCATTTACAATTAGTCGTTTACGTTTTATGGCAATTTTGCTAAAAGACTCTGGCAAAAAATGATCTTCACAAAGATAGCGAGTTTTATTATCAAAAGTTAAATTTAAATACTTAAACCAGTTCTCTCGAATTTTAACATTAGAAGGAAAATAAAAAAAAAAGGTTTTATTTGAATAACCAGCTTGTTGAATATTAGAATACCTATTTAAACAATTAGGAGCTGAACACGAATACTTAGTTTCACCTTTCGATGCTTTGCCCGGGTCGGACATGTTTTGATATTGTTACAAGTTACAAATATATTAAAAAAAGAATTTAAAATAGATTCAAAATGAAATTACCTATATTGGCTAAGAAAACAATGATAAAGTCCTTAAACAAATCTAACACCTAATATTGAATTAAATTGTTAATACTTACTAATTACATCAAATCATCACTTATAAATCTTCTTAACCTAAAAATAACTTTCATAAAATAACTTTTATTTACTTATATTGTTGTAATTTGGCGTTGGCCATCATTTCGCCTTTCGCCGCCATTCCGTTTTTCATTTTTACAAGGTTGTCAAACTTCTTTTTAAAATATCCCATCAATAGTATGCAATAGTATGCCATTGTATGGATGGTATCGAGCTTGACAAAAAAACAACATAATATGTTTGAAATAATTCTAATCTCATGAAAGTTTATGGAAACTGGCAACATCGCTTTCATCTTATTGCGATGGTGGCTCCAAGTAGTATGCTGAGGAACTAAACACCTAAAATACTTGTTACCAGTGCCGTGCATTTAAACGATTTATCTTGTTTATTAATTTATCTATGGATCGCTATGTGGTTTGTTTTGTTATGTTGATCTAGTGCAGTGTCTCAAACTTTTTTGGCGACGGAACCTTTTCGAAAAGCGAAATATTTGACAGAGCCCTAAACACATTTCTCAAGCAAAATCATATCCTTCTTCCTCAAGCCAGGTCCCTCCCTTTTGTGTCGATACTACTGCTTCTTTTTTTATTATGACTTTTATTTTCTTCGCGGAGCCCCCACAAAGGCTCTGCGGAGCTCCGGGGCTACGGGGAGCTCACTTTGAGTAACTCTGATCTAGTGTAGTGTTGTTTTTTATTTTTGTAATAATTATTTATCTTGACAGTAACGAACTTAAACAGTCTCGTATTCAGTCGCTTAAGTTTAAATGATTTTTGGTGTCCATGTACTCAGCACGAGCCGCCACTGTGTACAATTTGTAATAATATCTGTGACCTGAATCTAATCTCACCTCCTACCCTTTGCAAAGGGATATGACCGCCACTATTATATATTATTAAATATTGTTTAGTCCCGGTATTGTTATAATCGGAAAATCAAAGCTAATTGAAATAAGAAATAAAATACGAGGTGATCCGTTTAAAACTACATAAGTTTGTAACAAACTGAAATTATTGAACACCCTGTTATTTAAGCCTACTCTTTTTTACTACGTCACCCTGTATATAAATATTGCATTATCTCATAATCTCGAACATCAAAATACCGACGTGATATGCATTCTGCGCTATGAGACGTATTAGTACCTCCCCTCTTTGAGACTGATAACTCTAGTAGTTGAAATCTAATGAAAAAAATCAGCCCATACTATATGAATCCAGAAAATTTTCCCTGCATCCGCCCCTGTACGCCTCCATATAAGATTCGTATAATCACGGAGGAATATTAGGAATGAGCAGAGAATAGGATTTTAGACAGAATTTTCATAAAAAATAATTTCAGATAAAAATGTTCTGGAAAAAAATGTTCAGTACAATGGCAAAAAAAACAAAAAAATTAAATATGAATTTTCATCAAAAAAATGTTCTATGAGCAGTAACTAAAATTGCTGAATGATCGTATTTACAGCGATTGGATTATATTCAATGAGTAGTGTCTCAAAATTAATTTTATTATGTATATTATAAATTTACCTAATTACCTAACTACATAGTTTGTTATTTCGGAATTTAATTCAAAACTCGATACCTACTAGTTATACAGCTGACAATACATGTATGAGATTAAAACTACAAAATATAGATAGATGGCTCTGTTGCGATTTCTCTCTTATATTTTGGACAGAAAATGACATCGTGCGATTCTCTTCTCAGCGTTGCCGATATGTACGACTTGCAAAGTAATCTTGTGTAATCTACGTTCTAGAGCAGGCCTGCACAACTGAGATTTGCAAAGGGCCAGTTCAAAAAAACCGTAGGTGTACGAGGGCCAAGAACGGCTGTAATTTTTTTTTGGCGGGGGTGTAGATGAAGGATTTTCGCAGGTGCAACGCTCAAATACGTTGATCTTGAGGCTCATATAATATAAAATTTTATTTTAAGCTATTGCATAGCTTTTATCGCGGGCTTTGAGTGGCGACCGAAACCTAACACTCCCCACTCCGACCGGCACAGCGGTACGGCGATATAGCCATGGAAGGTTTTATCCGACCCTATTCGTAATTCGTATTAGTATGAAGCGGAGTTAAATATACGTCTGCGGACTGGAACGTTTATGCAATACAAGAACTAGAATAAGTTAAGTAATAATGATACTTTTATAGTTTTTAAATCATATATTTATGTGATTCCATTAAATTACAATGTAGGTATCATTTGACATGATAAAATTTTGTTTCTAATTTATTTTTGTTTAATTAAAAAGTAATAATTCGTAAATATTTGTAATCAAATGTTATAAATTAGTATAAACGATTCCAAACTTATATCAAAATGTGCTTGGTGGCGCAGAGCGTACAGTGGTCAAAATTTGGATAGTGTGGATGGCAAAGTTGGTGGTTCGAGCCCCGAAACTTTTAGTTTTTTTTTGTTTTTTTTTTTTTTCTTAAAAAAAAAGGAAAAATATTATTGATTATTGTTTCATTATTTCACAGTCTTGGTAATTTAAAATGTTTAGTTTTTAAAAAGTATATACTTATTCAATGCATAGTGGCGCATAACGAGGTTCATTCAAGTTTAGCTAATTTTAAAAATGCAAGCTACCAGTGGAGACTTTGTTTATTTAAATTCAAAAAGATAAACAAATAGGAAATGTATTTTTTTTTTTTTTTCAATAAGTACAACAAAATTAATTTCTCATTTATTCAATAAAAGAAAAAAAATTTTTTTCTTATCGGTCACTACGCTAAAAAAGTATAACTTGAATTAATATCAAAGAAAAAACTTGAATTCATATCAAAGAAAAAAAATACTGCATAAATAAAATAAATAAATAATTATAATTGCATAAGTTGATAAAAAATGCTATGCAATAGCTTTACCGCGGCAGTCCACACGTATTTTTATATTTCTAGGTAATAGTGGCAATATGGAATTATCAACTTGGCAACATTGCAATTGCAACGTTTGCCCGTTGATCGTTGTTTGACTTTCTGTTTGACGTTTACGCAACGTGACAACACCGCTCTTAAATGTCAAAAGTCAAAAGTGAAAAGTATGGCTGATTTGGATGCGGCTGTTAGGAATCCAAATCGTTTTGATAACATGAAAGGCTCGAACGGCCCCCGTGTTGTAACTATAAACAAAACCGAGACAGGCTTTGGTTTTAACGTCAGAGGCCAAGTTAGTGAAGGTGGTCAACTTCGAAGTATAAATGGAGAACTTTACGCCCCCCTGCAACATGTCAGCGCAGTCCTAGACAGAGGAGCCGCCGAACAAGCTGGAATAAGGAAAGGAGATCGCATATTAGAAGTGTGAGTCCCTACATATATAAATATTTTGATACCATTTATCTTAAGATAGATTAAAGTTTTATTGATTTTTTAATGGTTTACATGTCTTGTGACAGTTGACGTTAAGTTTATTATGGAATTTTTGGTATGCGAAGTTATGACATTCTAAAGTTTAGAGCGCGTTAACCCGAGTTGCAATCACAAGTACACAATGGCATTGCACTATACATTCCTTTCTAGTAATTTTTTAGAATTAGCAAAGTGGAGAAACCTGAATAACTGAACCAGGACAGATTGGCTACCTGCATAAAATTGACAAAATAAGTTATCATTTGATTTTGCATGTTTATTCTACTGTTTATGAATTATAGTTAATACAAATTTGTATTCACTGTTTCTTCATGTTGTTTATATCTAGAAAATAGAAATAGGTAGTTTGATCCATTGTGGGGTTTTAATCTTACCCCATTAGTTGGAATCATTTTCATGCTGCTTCCAAGAAATAATAAATCTAAAAAATATATCTTTAAAGTAATCTTAAAGAAAACCAAAATACTCAGCTGTTAGGAAGAGAGCTACATGCAACTATCATATTATATCCTTAGAAATTATGTTTTAAACCTCCACAACCTAGGAATCCATTTGTCAACAATACACTCAGATAATTTGTAATTATTATATTAACAATGAAAATTTTACATATACTTTTAAAAAAGTTCAACAATAACTGAACAAACCAACAAATTTGTAAAAACCCTTCACCCCGCTTCCATAATCCATAAATGAAGCATATTTGAGCAGCAAAGACCATAAGTACAGTGTAAGCAAAACTACAAAACACTATGGAATAATGTGAGGAATTTGCTCATAGTGCAGGTTACAGAGGGTTAATAACATTGGAAAGTATGCAGTTGGCTTCTTGCTCCATATCTCTGTCATAACTTAGTATGTTCCTAGTGCTGCATCTCATAGAGAAATAGATTGCCTTTAAATGTATTGAAAATGAGTGTTCTTGTGCAAATTACAGATGATTAATAACATTGGAAAGTATGCAGTATGCTTCTTGCTCCATATCTCTGTCCTAACTTAGTATGTTCCAAATGATGTGTCTCATAGAGAAATAGATTGCCTTTAAATGTATTGAAAATGAGTGTTCTTGTGGTAATGTTTTAATTTTCTAATAATTTTAATACCTTAGTTGACTTTACCATATCAATATATAGGTTGTCAACTGTCCAAATCAACAAGGTTGGCTGGTAATATACCTGCAAATTTAAAAAGATACATTTTCAGATCAAAATAATTAAAATTGTGTATAAGAAAATCATCTCTGCCAACATATTTTTAATTTTCTTTTTCAAGGTCTTACAATAAAAAACTCTATTTTTATCAAGTTGTGTAAAAATAGTATTGAATAGGTATTTATGTATTTATTCATTCAATAGACAATTTGAAGGGTCTCAAATTATTAGAGATTAAACAGTATTTAAACTTATATTATAATAACATGTTTACTAAATTTGGTGATTAATTTTTTTATAAACAAATTCCTAATAAAAAAGAAAATCAAAATATCAACTCTTCAATAATAAAAAGGTCAATGGTTCAATCATTAATAAAATAAATCAGCTTTAAAGCTTGGTAGTGACTGTTCATTTAAGTTTTTATTACATAACAATCTATTTAAAAAATCCTGAAAATTGAAGTTGGTAGTAATTTATATTTACAAAAAAGGATCATGTTGGGTTATGCTCAATTAATAAATGATTCTAAATATTCAAAAAGACCAGGGTGAGTTTTCAATTTGATTAATAATAAATTAAATACTGTTAATTTATTAAAGATGTGTTTATTCTTATTTTACTAGGTAATATAATGCAAATAAATTTTTAATGAAATAGTTTAGCAAAAGTGAACATTTTATTAGATTACAAAATTGCTTTTTTATAACGCTGATGTAAACATCATTATCAGTGAAAACAATTGAAGACCTTAAGTTCAAAAGGGTCAAGTGCCAAAAGCATGGAGAAAAGTTATGAGTAAAATAAAAATGTTATACTTCATATACAGGCATATACAGTTGCCATGGTTATCCCACTACAATAAATGGATTCCTTTGAAAATGCACTAATGTTTCTAATTAGGGTTGGTATTTAAAGCTTTTTATGCAAAAGTCTATTTTTAAAATTTTGGCACTTAGATTCTTTTGAAGTTAATGCTTTCAATTTATATGAATGAATGAGAGGCAAACGTTTATCTTTTAAAGAAACTCTAATGTGAATTTTAAATAAAAGATTGCTTTAGTAAAGTCCGTCCTTACGGTTTTATTATTAAATTAGTTGAATTTCACTGTCTCTAACACTTGATACTATTCTATTATGTTGAAAGTACATATTTACATTTACATACATTTTTGTTTGTTTGGGATATTTTGATAATTTGATCAAATTAACTTTTCTTAAAGATAAATGAAATCAACATATTGCTATAAAAGAACAAAGATAAAGTTTCAATAATATTTAAAAAAAAAAACTCATTAAAAAGACTTTTTCTGATTAGTACGTCAGCTTATTTACAATTATTACAGTTAATCTAATAGTTTTAAAGTAACTCTACAAATATAAATCTACAAATAATTTATTGTAAATACGTTTTTGGTATTTAAGTTTTTGTATGCCTATGCAATGAACTGGTGATGTGATAAACAAGTCTCTGAGTTAAATCTGTAAAATAATGAATAAAAAACCAGATTCACAACTACAAATATCGATTTTCTTACTGCACTGTTGTTAGATTTCACATTTCATGTGTGAACGAATGTATTATTACCATTAAGAACTCCGTAAGGCTGCGATGTTCAATCAGAATATTGCATTTGTGCCATGGATGCTTAGATAGTGAACCTATGTTGGCTTCAGAAATGTAAATAATTCTATCTGTCTTGGATATATATCTTTAATTTTTACCATATTTATGTTATTTTCTTTGTTTCAAAACAGAAGAAATTAAATCACTAATTGAAAAATAAATTGAATTTTTAATAGATCACAAAAATTAGGTATATTTTTTTTTTTTTTTTTAGAAATGGAGTAAATGTTGAAGGAGCAACACACAAACAAGTTGTCGATCTCATAAAATCTGGTGGAGATGTTTTAACATTAACTGTTATATCTGTAACACAACAGGTTGGTATTTTGTGAATTGAAATTTTGTTGAAAACGTAACTCGTAGGATATGTATTTATTTGACTATAGTGAATTATTTCTAAAAGCATTTTACAGTATTTAACACACGCAATAAGTAGGATTATCAATTTATGTTGTAGATCTAACATGAGAAATATATTAATCAAAATAGAACTAAATATCCACCTAAAGTACATATTTCTAAATGTACAAACAAACAAGAATTAAATCAGTCTCAAAGTCAAAATCTGTTATTTTTTTTTTTTATTTGGTGTTCTTGGCATCAACTACTTAGGTTATTAGCTGTATATTCTGTGTAGGTTTTGTTACTGTTTCCCAGTGCCACTTTAGGAACAGGACTGTTAATTAGAACCCAACAGTAAATGGTCGAGTAGAGAATCCTACCTATGCATTAGAATTAATATTTAATTTAGTAAATTAAATAAAAGTCCCTGTCACTGACTGTATTCGAACCTGAGACCCTTTGATCCCAAAATCATGATTCTAACCACTGAGCCAACCCACCCCCTATTATTTATTATTATTTAATTTAAATTTAAATGCTATCTAGATTTTCATTATATCAAGTTTTTCTATACCTAAATATTAACTAAATGTTTATAGATAAAATACTACTTGCTTGATTAGACTAGATTAATAAACAAGTACATAGAAATTAATTTGTATTCTATTTTATCAAGGTCTTTCTGTAATTTACATAGCATAATAATTTTTATTTATCCAATTGGCACTTTGTGTTCCATAAAGTTGGATCCATATGGGAAATTTTCTTAATATTACGATTGGAGAAAACGTGGTAGGGCATTCACCTCTGCCTTTTTTTAACAACTTAAAATAGCCCATTCTAAAGTTGGCTAGGCTCTGCATTAGTTATCTATCAAATTCAGCTTTTTTTTTTTTTAAATACATTTTTTTTTTTTTAATTCTATTTTGACAGAAACTAATGTCAATAGCCAACTTTGACATGCGCTTTTTTAAGTTATTAAAGGTTTATTCCAACACAATAGCAAATCGGTTTATGTACTGTCAGGATTCTGCACAGTCTATAGATTTGGTGTTCCTCAAAACTGTGTTCCATCATACTCAAACCTAATCAAAAACCAGTTTCTGTACTATCAAATCAGTTCCTGAGTCTGAATAGGAACGAATTGTGAAGATATGCTCAAAACAAAAGTGAGCTCATAAATAAATCATGACCAACTCTGAAAATGTCGTGATTATATTCGTTTTGAAAGCATCGATCCTAGTCTCGATCGTAATTTGGTTTTTATTCATTATCATTATTTATGGTATATTATTTTATGAGTAATGAGTGTAGAAAGTGAAAAGGACTATTATTCTGACTTAGATGCAGTAAAAAATAAATAAATGTACTAACCAATTGAATAATCAAAATTTATAAATCTTTTGAATGAGTTTTATAATTTTTTCATTTACCAAATTCAAAATTTAACATGTTATTTTTTTTTACTTTTACGTTATTGACAGTGAGTCTGACAACAATAACATGTGTTCCAACACAACCAAGTTCTGAATTCAGTCCCAATCATCGACAGGTCGTGGACTGGTCATTGACTATCAGTCGTCAACAATAAGTTGTAGACTGGTTTGTGTATGATTGCCCTATGACATATTTTTCCAATCGTAATATTAAAAATAATTTCCATATGCATCCAACTTTTTGGCATACACTATATACACATATAGGTTATTCTTTGTTTGAGATCAAATTGATTTTTACATATTGTAGATTACTAGGTTATTTTTAGTCATATCACTAATAGAAGAAATTGAATACTAGTTTAGAAAACAATGACATAAAAATAATACCTAATCCATATTTGTATTTTTTATGTCAAACTATTTAAACTTCATAACCTATCATATCGATTTTGAGTTTCATACTTTTACTAATAAAACTGCCACATTTGAAAATTTAGATAATTTACCTTTCTATTTAAGAGTTGACACACATCAAATTTGGTAACACCTGGTATTGGTTTACAAAAATGTTTTTATGTAACAGGATTGGAATGTTGATGATAAATTATACCAGAAAAGTTTGTTTGATAGAAATGAGTGTTCATTTCAAGGATTTTTACAATTACATAAAGAAAAAAATTAAATATAAATTATTTATGCTTTCCTAATCAATTTATTTTAAAAATTTACAAGTCTAAACTGGTTTACAAATCAATATAATTTATTTGCATTGTCATGAGGTGACAACTCATATCATAATTTGTCTAATAAAAGGTAATTGTTTATAAAGTCAAGAGATGCGAGCTGAGAACCCTGAGACAAAACTAATGTGCGAGGAAAGATTATTTTATCAATTCATTTGCATTCTATACAATTTATTAAAAAATTTGATTGTTTATTTTTATTAAAATGCTGGGATTAAAAAATGCTTTTGAAAAATTGCTATAGGGATTATATTGTCAAGTTTTAAAAATATTTAAATACAAAAAGAAAATATTACAACTGTAATTAATCTGTTTTTATTTACAAACTTTAGGCTATGTACAGTTTTTATAACAATCTGAGAATAATGTTGAGATTTATGTAAAAACTTATTACTACTAAAAAATCTGATGTGTCCAACCATGACTTTCCTGTCTGGTTATTACAAGCTTTTTCCGGTTATTTTGTACAACCTATTTGTATCACCCCATCATTGTCAAAGAAAATACTGAATAATTAAAATTTTACACTTTTCCTCAAATGTTTCCATTTTAGAGAAATGTCGATTCATGCAACGAAGACTATAGTAACTCATTTTTGGGAATTTTTTTGAGTTACCATTATCCAGCGCATATATTTACTAAAAGATTTGACCTGTAAAAGTATAGTCATGGCCTCTTTTACCTAACAGTACTGGGGCCTAATTCCTGACGGCGTTCGTATTTGTCTCGCATGCGGTGACGTATGCGAGTAGATAAATGGTATTCTTGAAAGCCTAGGCGTATGCGAGTTATCCCCGCATGCGGTGCTTGGCGAACAATTTGCAATGAGCGGTCTTGACCATGCGATAACCCTATCTCGCATGCGGTAACCATGGGTATCCATGCATATTACTTGTCACTGTCACTTAGTAATATAAGAGATCATTGTTTATATTTTCCTAGTTTATATTTTAATTCGTTTTTTATAATTATCTTATTATTATTGTTATTATTATTAATGATTATTATTATTACATAATTATTTTACGGTTTTGCTGTTTATAAGTCGTTAGTGTTAATTTTATTTAGTTATTGTATTTACTATTGGAAACTTCTTATAAAATGGACGATATAGAGGAAATTGCCCTTATTCAGGGAATACATAATATTGAAGAGGCACAATTAGATGCAGAACTGCCACCTCTCAATTACAACAGGCGACAGGATCCATTTCTTTTACCAGATAGGCAGTTTAGAAGAATATTTCGACTAACTAAGGAGTTAGTTGAAAATATAATTATATTAGTGACTCCCTACATGGTGCAACCACGAAGAAATTCAGCTCTGAGTCCACAACTAAAGGTTAGTAATTAAACCCATAATAATTATAAATACAACTATTTTCATTTTTATTTTCCTATAATTTTATCTATTAATAACAATAAACTGGAAACAGAAATATACCAATCCAAATGTAATTTGGTGGTTTAAGTATTAAGTTAATTTGTATTCTTGTTTATTGTATTGAATATAGTCAACATTTATACTTAAAAATTAAAAATTAAAAGTATTTTTTAGGTTCTTTGCTCACTAAAATTCTTTGCCTCGGGAAGCTATCAATTAGATGTTGGCTCAAATATTTTTTTATCCATTAGCCAATCTTCGGTTAGCAGGGCTGTAGAGGAAGTAGCAAATATCCTAAATAGGCCAGAAATTTTTAACCATTGGGTTAAATTTTCAGTAAGTGAGGAGAACTTGGTAAACCTTCGTAATGGCTAAGTTAAAATTAGCGTATTTTAAATTTTCAGATTTGACTTGATTTTTATATTCTAGTTTTTTCAATATGTATGGGTTTCCTGGTGTTATTGGAGCCATAGACTGCACACATGTGGCAATAGTTCCACCAAAAACAAATGATCCCGTTTATCCTGAACACATGTATATTAACAGAAAACGTTATCATTCAATTAATGTTCAATTGGTAATTTACTTATTTTAAAAAATCGTCTTCAAATGCATTACAATGTTAATTTTAGGTATGTGATTCCAAATTGAGAATTTTGAGCGTCAACTCAAGATATCCAGGAAGCACACATGATAATCATATTTTAAGTAATTCCAACATTAAGGTAGCTATGGAAAGGTTACATCAAATGGGGTATAATGGTTACCATTTATTAGGTACAGTATGGAGTGAACCACAGAACATGTTTCTAAAGTAGATCTTGGAGAAATTCACGCTTGGTCTTAATTCAGAACCATGCGTAGTTATCACGGTCATGACTCGTATCTCTGTCTTTGTCGGTCATGGCCTACTTTAGAAACATTTTTAGCCGATTACTATTTCTATACTACAATCAAAAAGATTTTGATCAGTAAATCAGGATGATAATAATAATTAGCTACTGAATAGTCTTTTTAGATTTAAGTTCTTAATCACTGTAGGTCAAAGTGATATTTGACATGAATGTTCTTCAGCCATCTTCCATTCTTTCGTCTTTCGTTTTCGTCATGAATGAGGAAGAATTCAAAATTCTAGGTAATTCTAGATATGTCTTCATAATCTAATTAATTTTATATTTATTTTTAGGAGATTCAGGACATTACCTCAGGGCTTCGCTTCTAACCCCTACAGAGGTTGAACCTCCTCCCAACACAAATGAATACAGGTATAATGCTTGCCACAAATCAACGAGAAGCATCATTGAAAGATGTAATGGTGTACTCAAAATGAGATTTAGATGTTTACTGAAGCACAGGGTATTGCACTATACCCCGGACAAAGCATCACTTATAATAAATGCATGTGTGGTG